AGAGAGTCAGCTGCACGTGTTCCGTTGCTTTGTAATCAAACCGTTTATAGCAATAGCTTCTGTGTAGAGCTTTACTGCACTGATCAGAAGAGTGAGAACCATTTTCAGCTGAGGGAGTCAGGGTGGAGGTTTGAAGTGACAGGTGTTATAGATCAGGTGATCGTATCAGCACGGCCCTTTTTGACATCCACGTCGTCTCTCTTGTTTTAATCAGGGATTTGTTTTAAATGGAACACTAATAATTGGCATTTTAGGAGGACGTTCTACTACTGACTTTGAGGTGTATTTTAATGTGATTGGCTTAAATAAACAGTTTTAAAATAATCTGTCTTTTCTGTGTTTTTATTAACAATATCAATCTGTATAAGAGCGGATGTTGTTCAGTCTGTATGGACTTTGAACCAGAGGGTCACCGGTTCGAGTCCCGGTGTGGACCATGTCTGGTAGCTGGAGACGTGCCAGTTCACTTCCTGAGCACTGCAGAGGTACAACGAACCCCGAACTACAGCCCTGTTCAGTCTGCCATGATATTTACGACCCGTGCCAGTTCTCCTTCAATCTGAACGTGGAGGCGTAATGTGGGACGAAGTGACCCCCCCCCCCCATCTGTACCGTCTTCAGATAGTAACAGAGGCGAGACGGGATCAGCTGAGCCAGCAGGGGAGAACAGCACTGTGTGTGTGGAGCTTCTGCTGTGCCGTGCTTCCACAACGCTGAAATGCGAGTGAACTCACGGACTGGATCCCTAACCACCTCCTGTTTCTGTGCTTAATTTCATGTCCTTATCTTCCATCTACCAGAAGGGCCTTACTTTATTTCAAAATTAAAGCACACAGCAAGTAAAGTACTCTCCGCTTAAGACAGGAAAAACCTTCAAAATAAAAGCCCGGTTGTATCCTGACGAGAGTTAAAGTACCCCTAGGTACTCGCACTCCCTGGCATAGTTGGAAGAGGTATCTTCAGCACGTTTCAGTTGCTCATGAACGGGTAAACAACGTGGATATGAAGTATAATATTGGACTGTAAGAGGGCCGTATCTGAACACAACTGAAAGTAAGGAACAATGTTGATAAAGTTTCCTCCATGTTCTCTGTGTTGGTTCACCGTGTGGCTATCGGGTCTATGGCAGCTATTTGAAACTACCTGAAATGTTAAGGTGGAATGTTGTCTTTCCTGTTACTCAGTGCATGAGTTGATGTCATGAATCAATCATACCACCTTGAATGTCAGAACCTTTATGTTTGTTTTTAACGTCTGCTGAATGACACTGTAGCACTCCCGGATCACGCAAACTGCAAATAATGTCTTTCCTCACTTGGAAAGAAAAGCCCCGGAGAGCCGGAGCACAGCGGACATATGTCCAGAGGTGACCGTGCTCAGGCCTGGGTGGTCCTGGAGCAGTGTGTGTGCAGGCCAGCAGGGGATGGGGAGCCTCCATTTATTTACTGTAATCAGAGTTAAATCAAACTGACTTTGATGCGGCTTCATGAAGGTGACATGAGTGATGAAAGCGGTGGAACTGTTCGTTTAAATATCCAAATGACCTCCAGGATCAGACTGAAACGCAAAAATCAGCGGTGAGCCGAGTCAGCACTTCCTCCAAACTTTATTATTTAGACATAAATCACTTCAAAGTACAAAAAGTCAAAAATACATGACCCATAAAAGTTTCCATAAAATGTTATTTCATTGAACATCCTGAATAAAACACCGCCCACATCACATCCTCGTCTCAGCGTTTTAGTTCTTAGTAGATTAAACGTGTTTAAGCTCGTACACAAGAGGAGCAGAGTGGGGGGGAGACTGAAATCCTCTCAGCAGGTTTTTAGACCAATCAGGAGGCTCTCTTCACCCACTGGCTTCATCACCTGACTGCAGGTGATTTCACATCCTCGTAATTTTAATATTAGGATACTGAAGATCTGTAGAGTGGATTTATTAAGGGGGCGGTCATCTCTCAACACAAAGGTTGGGGGTTCGATCCCCAGCTCCTGCAGCCACATGTCCTGTTTGTTATTGGGCAAGTCACCTAACAACAAGTTGCTCCTGATGTTTCGCCGGCAGCGTCTGAATGTGTATGAATGGATGAGTTAATACTGATGGACTCTTTACCCAGCAGCCTCTACCATCAGTGTGTATGAATGGATGAGTTAATACTGATGGACTCTTTACGCAGCAGCCTCTACCATCAGTGTGTGAATGTGTATGAATGGATGAGTTAATACTGATGGACTCTTTACTCAGCAGCCTCTACCATCAGCGTGTGAATGTGTATGAATGGATGAGTTAATACTGATGGACTCTTTACCCAGCAGCCTCTACCATCAGTGTGTGAATGTGTATGAATGGATGAGTTAATACTGATGGACTCTTTACCCAGCAGCCTCTACCATCAGTGTGTATGAATGGATGAGTTAATACTGATGGACTCTTTACCCAGCAGCCTCTACCATCAGTGTGTATGAATGGATGAGTTAATACTGATGGACTCTTTACCCAGCAGCCTCTACCATCAGTGTGTATGAATGGATGCGTTAATACTGATGGACTCTTTACCCAGCAGCCTCTACCATCAGTGTGTATGAATGGATGAGTTAATACTGATGGGCTCTTTACCCAGCAGCCTCTACCATCAGTGTGCATGAATGGATGAGTTAATACTGATGGACTCTTTACCCAGCAGCCTCTACCATCAGTGTGTATGAATGGATGCGTTAATACTGATGGACTCTTTACTCAGCAGCCTCTACCATCAGCGTGTGAATGTGTATGAATGGATGAGTTAATACTGATGGAGTCTTTACCCAGCAGCCTCTACCATCAGTGTGTATGAATGTATGAATTAATACTGATGGACTCTTTACTCAGCAGCCTCTACCATCAGCGTGTGAATGTGTATGAATGGATGAGATAATACTGATGGACTCTTTACCCAGCAGCCTCTACCATCAGTGTGTATGAATGGATGAGTTAATACTGATGGACTCTTTACCCAGCAGCCTCTACCATCAGTGTGTGAATGTGTATGAATGGATGAGTTAATACTGATGGACTCTTTACCCAGCAGCCTCTACCATCAGTGTGTATGAATGGATGAGTTAATACTGATGGACTCTTTACCCAGCAGCCTCTACCATCAGTGTGTGAATGTGTATGAATGGATGAGTTAATACTGATGGACTCTTTACTCAGCGGCCTCTACCATCAGCGTGTGAATGTGTATGAATGGATGAGTTAATACTGATGGACTCTTTACCCAGCAGCCTCTACCATCAGCGTGTGAATGTGTATGAATGGATGAGTTAATACTGATGGACTCTTTACCCAGCAGCCTCTACCATCAGTGTGTATGAATGGATGAGTTAATACTGATGGACTCTTTACCCAGCAGCCTCTACCATCAGTGTGTGAATGTGTATGAATGGATGAGTTAATACTGATGGACTCTTTACCCAGCTGCCTCTACCATCAGTGTGTGAATGTGTATGAATGGATGAGTTAATACTGATGGACTCTTTACCCAGCAGCCTCTACCATCAGTGTGTATGAATGGATGAGTTAATACTGATGGACTCTTTACCCAGCAGCCTCTACCATCAGTGTGTGAATGTGTATGAATGGATGAGTTAATACTGATGGACTCTTTACCCAGCAGCCTCTACCATCAGTGTGTATGAATGGATGAGTTAATACTGATGGACTCTTTACTCAGCGGCCTCTACCATCAGCGTGTGAATGTGTATGAATGGATGAGTTAATACTGATGGAGTCTTTACGCAGCAGCCTCTACCATCAGTGTGTGAATGTGTATGAATGGATGAATTGATACTGATGGACTCTTTACTCAGCGGCCTCTACCATCAGCGTGTGAATATGTATGAATGGATGAGGTGAAACTGATGGAGTCTTTACGCAGCAGCCTCTACCATCAGTGTGTGAATGTGTATGAATGGATGAATTGATACTGATGGACTATTTACTCAGCAGCCTCTACCATCAGTGTGTGAATGTGTAATAATGGATGAGTTAATACTGATGGACTCTTTACCCAGCAGCCTCTACCATCAGTGTGTGAATGTGTATGAATGTATGACTTAATACTGATGGATTCTTTACTCAGCAGCCTCTACCATCAGTGTGTGAATGTGTAGGTGTGACCTTTACAGAAACTATACGAGATCAGGGTCATTTACCGTTTCAGATGTTGTCATAAGCTGTTTTCACACATGCACTCATTTATTTTTCTCCTGATCTGGTTGTTCACACATGCACCTCACAGCAGCATGGGGAAACAAAATCACTGATTGGGAGAGTGGGAGCGATCAGTGCCGTAGTGCACACTGCTAACAGACCGCGGTGCACACAGACTGTGGAAATTACTGGTAGCTTTCAAAGAAGTTAAAGAGGTTTTTAAAGGGGTCATATTATGCTTTTTCTGGTTTTATATGCTCTTTAGTGTGTTTTCCAAGTGTCCTGTGCATGTTTAGGCACATCTATGTGCAAAAATTCAAAGTCTGCGGAAACGCGGCTTCTCCTACGTCCTCCTGTTAGCTGCAGCATTAGCTGCATGTAACGCTCGGTTCTAGCCCCCCTCGAAAATTTGTCAGTGTGATATCACTGATCTAAGCCCATTGGCTCGTTGTGGCAAGTCCAGCAGCTCATGTTGTACACCCATTAACTTCTGTAGCTCGCCCACGATATGCCGTAGTCTGCGGTAGCACAGTAGTGCTAAGGTGCTAATGTTTTTGCTCCCCTCGGAGCCAAAGTGGCTGCATTCCAAATATGGTAAAAAGGGCGGGACATTTTCGAGAACCGTGCTGAGCGACTGACCAATCACGGCAGAGCCGACAGGCTGACCAATCAGATCAGACTTGGCACACATGGGGACTCTGAACGTGGGCACTACAGAGCCTTAGAGAGAGAGTCAGAAGCGAGCCGGTGCATGGAGCGGCAGTTCATGAAAACATACACTTTTTTATAACTTTAGCTATTGTGAACATACTTCAGTAGGTACATAGATTAAATATGCGAACCCCAAAAAGGGTATAATATGACCTCTTTAAAATGTAGATATCGTGGATGCTAGGCGTTAAACGAGTTATGAGTATTGAAAAGTCGTGTGCACGTCTCCAGCAGGTGTGCACGACTGGAATATCGACAAAGTTCATCCTTCTTGTTTCCGACCGTGTTCTTGTGACCGTGGTGATCTCTAAACTTTAAACTAAGTTGACCCCAAAGAGGATCTATAGAGTGTGGATTTATATTAAATACAGAAAGCTCTGTCTCTATGCAGCTTTGTGTCTTTAGACCGCTCAGTTAGAGAAATGTTGTTTAGTGAATTCAAAAGTTAACCAAAACTAGGAACAAAGACTATAAAAATATGTTTCACGTTGTTTGAAATGGACCTAAACTTTTAAAAAAGGTGCAGGAGTGACAGAAAACTCTGATCTCATGGTGTAAACACAGGAGGACAAGTCATGGGCTCAGACTGTGTTCTCACACTCTCACAGTATCATTTTTGGGTCCTTGAATCCGTCCTTGAGTCTGTCCTGGAGGTGTTTGAAGTTGCCCCACAGATGATGGGACTCTCTGAGACATCCTGTGAGACCCCCTCCTGCAGGCGTCACCTCCATTAGAGACAGAAAATAAGCTCTGTGTCAGTTTGATGTTTGACTCCTCCTGTTCCTGTCAGCCCTCCTGCTCCGCGCTCCTCCTCTCTGTCTCTGAGCTCATGTCTCCAGGTTCCTGCCCCTCCTGCTCCCCCTCCAACTCTCTTAGGGGGGCCGCCGGGTCTCTGACCACCCCCTCCATCTCCATCTCCCCCTCCAGCTCCTCCTGCGTCTCCTCCTCCACCCGGCCCACAGAATCGGGGATGATCTCCACCTCGATGTCAGAGGAGCCCTCGCTCTCCTTGAACCAGACAGTCTTCTGCCCCTCCTTCCTCCTCTGCTTAATAAGGCTGGCCCTCGCTGCATAGTCGTCCCCGTCACCCCTCCCCCTCCTTGATGCCCTCGCTGACGGGCTCCCGGCACCGACGTGGTTGTCGTAGACACCGCAGGAGGAGCAGTGTCGGCTCCGTCTCTCAAGGGGGATAACCCGGCCTCGTGGCTGAGGGAAGGTGCTCCGCCGAGGAACTACGTTGTTACAGTGCCGGGCCCCGCCGCGGCTCTGGTCTCCCTCAGAGGTGAAGCCATCGTTGGTGAACTGAAGAGAGTCCCTGTGACCAGAGCGGGCATGCTCGCCCTTCAGACAGGGGCCAAAACACTGAGAGAGAGAGAGAGAGAGGAGAGAAAGCAATTACTTCTAAAGTTGAACAATTTATCCAAGTCCTAAAAGCTGCAGTTCCGCCAGTGTCCACTAGAGTCTGTCTCCTGCAGTGAGTCAGTCCCCATAGAGCCCCATGTTAAAATGTCCAACTTTAAAGCTGCAGTTCCTCCAGTGTCCACTAGAGTCTGTCTCCTGCAGTGAGTCAGTCCCCATGGAGTCCCAAGTTAAAATGTCCAACTTTACAGCTGCAGTTCCTCCAGTGTCCACTAGAGTCTGTCTAAATTTACATAATTAGGGGTGTGGCTGACGGCTAATCATGTCAGTAATCAAAGAGTCAAAATAAAAATAGAACATACCTCACATATTTTGTCCATGCCGGCGTTTCCTTTCCATAAGCGGGAAATCAGGAAGCCAATGACGATGAGACAAAGCACCAACAGAGCCGCCATGACCAGCCCCAGCAGCACCATGTCCCCCGGACGGTACCCGATGGTAGAGTCAGACGGGGTGGCTACGGCTGGACGCAAGTGAGTCAAGAGTTGTATCATTATGTCTTTATTAGAATTACCCAGACAGATGTGAACAGTGTAAACAGCTGTGATCTATGTTACGGCTCACTCGAGTGTTCTCACCTGGTATCACCTGAACAGAGAGAGCAGCTGTCCCAAACTCTCCCGTTGTCGTGTCCACGGCTCGGAGCTGCGTTCAGGAATATAAACGTTTTAACGTGTCACTACATGTCAGCCAACATATTTTCTGGTGATTGATTTGAATTGTTCAGTCACCTGGAGAGCGAAGGACTCGGTCTTCACGACTCTCTTCAGGATCACAAAACCGTCGTAGGTGACGTTGACGTAGCTGCTGTACTGAACCTCGTACTTCATGTCGGGATTCAAACCCTGAAACACACAGAAACAGAACAATGTTCACAAATACAGGCGAGTGACCTGTTGTATTTAGAGACTTGTTATTAGCCAATCATGTGCTTGTTGTTGTGACCAACAGGTTAGCAAAATGGAGCAGAGAACAAAAAGAGAAAGAGAAACATCTTTGAAGTGGTGTTGAGTTCATGAACAGCTGACGACCTTCAGCTCGGATCTCTGTTTCCTTTCCTCCTGAAGCCCTCCTGCTGGTTGGTTCTGGGGCCATGTTGGGGTCTGATGAATGCTTGTTTTGCTCTCTTTGATCTCTGTTTTTGGTCTCCACCACCATATTATATATAAATTGAATGACTTCCTAAAGAGAGTGAAGTCAAACTCCTTCTGGGTTTGTTGTTCTCCACTCTGTGTTCACAAAGACGGGACGGAGATTTCTTCAGTTTGTTTATATTCCCCTCAGAGGCTCAGACATGTTTCAGACGTGAAATTAAACCGGGCATCAAAATTAGTCACATGACTCAAAGCTCAGTTATAATGGTGCGTTCAATTCACATCGGAACTCAGAGCTGCGAGCTGGGAATGACGTCACACCTGAGTAAACGTCCCAACAAGTGGGATAAGCACTATGGGCCCCTCTAGGAGAACCTTTGTTTTGTAAGCTAATTACTACTTGATGGTTTGTGCGTGAAAATAACACGACAACATGTCAAACAGAACTTTTATGATACTATCGGAGTGACTGATTTGATTACACTAAGAGAGGACTAAGCTGTTAATAAACATAAAACACATGCAAAGAGCAGCCATGTTGGATTTTAACTCAGTCTACAGAGGGGTCTCTGAGTTTCCAAGTCAGAATTCCAACTTAAGGGGGCGTTACTGACGACGTATCAGACCGGCAACTCAGAATTATCGACTTCTGAGATCAAATGGAAAGCACCACCAGGCTTAAAAGTACAGAGTGTAGCTCGGTCCATAGGAGCTTGGGTTGGGAACCAGAGGGTTGCCAGTTCATATCCCATTGCGGACTATATTATGGAAAATAGTATTTAGAGAAGTGCCAGGAGATTTTCTAAGTACTGCCAAGAGATGCCCTAGAGCAAGACAATTCCAGCGCAGTCTATGCATGTCTCTAAATAACAGAGTGTAAACCAGAACACCCCTCAGTGTATGAAAAATTTAAGAATTCAATAGCTGATCATTTTACAGGGATGTTATAAAATCTATCAGTCAGTCCAGTCAGTAAACAGGTAGACATGCAGAACACCTGGTCATTAAAGGCTTTTTATGCAATTTTTTTATCCAGCAGATGTCGCCCTTGAGCACCAGCATGAAACCAAAACAACTCGCGGCACATTGTTGTGTTAGCATGCTAATGCTAGCGATCTTTATTATGCTCGTATCTTCACACTGCATGTAAATTTACCTGAAATGAGCGTGATCTAGAAACACAGTTAAGCAGTGAGTACAGTATGTTATTCTTCTTTTCTCTAGTCCCTCAATTAAACAACTTTTGTGAGGGGAGGAGTCAGCCGCTGTCCCGTCAATGTAAACAAAGTGAAGATAGGACTCTGAAAACTCTGAAAACATCACAGACAGTGGGACTCGGGTGTTACACCCATTGTAGACAGTCATGACTCACAGAGTTATTTTCAGAGGATATTCTTGATTTATATTATATTTAAGTGTGAAAAATCACATATAAAGCCTTTAAAGGTTTCTGCAGTGAGAGAAGCATGTCATGAATATTTAAACAAAGCTGATGGTCAGTAAAGGTTTCACATTAATATTCTCACCGCAGCGAAGTCCTCATCCCGCGCTCGGACTCTGAAGGGTCTGTTGGTGCTCCGGTCTCGGAGGATCATGCTCTCAGGGACCGAGTTGCTGTAGATAAACCCTTCGTATCGCTCCTTCTCGAAGCGAGGAGGGTTCCTGCTCTTCTTCATCACCTCGATGGTCACCTGCGTCACCGCAAACTGATCCCTGTTTGTCACCTGAGACGCCTGACAGACCGAGAACAACGTTAAAACCAACACACCATAATTCACCTCAGGTCAAAGTGTTTAGATCCGGAGACACTCTTAGATACTCCGGGGATTTAACACGATACATTCTGTCTTATTCTAATGATCCATGGTATCCAAAAGTTGGATTTCAACCAAAAGCTGCCACATCTCAAACTCACAGGTCGGCGGATACCAACTTTTCAGTCCGTTAGTTGTTATTGTTACATTTATGTGTTTGTGTGTAAAGGGAAAATGTTGGGCAAACTATTTAGACGACTTTCTAAATATTATCCTGTCCATGCTCGCAATGAGATCATCAACTCTTGCACTGAACATTTCACACAAGCTTGCCAAAATTTCTGATTTTTTATGGGGGCGCCATTGTCCTAGTGGTTAGTGTCCCATCGATGGCGGTCTCCATGCTGGAAATGCTGTCTGTCTAACTTTCAGTCAACCTAACGACAGGCTGAGAGCTGGAGCTGAGGCGGGTTTTAAGACTCCTGACAAACTGTTACACCGCGCCTGCCTGTCAATCAGTTCAGCTACACGCCTTATTGTGAATAACTCTTATCCTTCATCAAATCAAAACTGATGAGTCATCAAAACATTCACCCCCCGTACAGTGTGTGTCCATCGAGACATGAGCTAATCACACCTATTTGGTTTTTTTAACCAGGCTGTAAACATGGTAATCTCTGCTGTAAAAACAGTCTTTTTAGAATGGGTGTGTATGTGACATCCTGTGCTTCTGCAGCCAGCCTCTAGTGGACACTTGATGTACTGACGGATTTTGCACTTTAGCATGGGCTTCATTTTTAACACCGAGGTTGCTGCTTGGTCTCTCGCTCTCTCCCTTGTTTTTCTGGCTCTATCCACTTTCCTGTCTGAATTAAAGGCAAAAGACGCCAAAAAATGAGAACACAGAGGACGGCCGAGCACGCACTCTGTGAAATGTTACGTGAACGGAACAATCGCCACTGAGGAAGCAAGCTGACTGAAGCAGGAAGCCCAACAAACATAACCATGGCGACGACAGCAAACGTGAAGCATAAAGTTAGATGGATGACATATGTTCAGGACCAATTATTGACGTCTTTACCAGAACAGTGAGAGTGATCGGTCCAACGATATCAGCAGCCTTCGTCATTGTGATGTTTCCCGTCTCCTCGTCAATCTGGAAGATATTTCCTTCATTTCCTGATGAAGAACAAAAACAACATAAACTGAGGTCAACGTCACATCACTGTGAGTTAAGCTCCTCCCCCTCTCTCTCTCAGGCTGGGTGATGGGGTTTCTGTATCTCTGTAGATGAACGGACATTAAGCTCACTCCCTGGGTCTGACGACAGTCTCAGCTCTGCTGATGGGGTTGGCTGTGACTAGGCCATCCAAGGTCACGCTGTGTCTCCCGCCATATCTGACTTGTTTGGCAGAATCTGTGTCTGCTCTCCGTTATCTTAAACATCACATTGTCATTGTGTCAACTCACGAGGTAGAGTGTTTAGGGTAACATGCCCCTGACTTTAGCGTCATCTTAAGGATTAATACTGAGTCCATGGGACGGTCTAACCGAACTGGCTTGGCAGGTCACTGTATCACATGTGCAGCACATGAAGTGCAGGGTCTCTGCTGCATGCCGTCCCCCAACTCTCTCTCTCCTCCCAACGTCTCCTGTCCACCTTCAGCTGTCCTCTCTAATGAAGTCAATCAAGTCAGTCGGCTGGAGTCCACCGACAGGTAGAGAGCCACGGTTCACAGGATGTCAATGACCCTGGGACGCTGTCGTTCGCTTTCCGGCCTCCCTAAGGTGTGGTGGGACTAATTGGACGATGTGCTGGCTCTTGTTGCCCTTCGGTCCACACTGTTGAGTTGTGCGGGCCAAGAGGGGCCATACCTGGAGCTCTTATGTACGGAGCCTGGGTCTGTTGAAGGTGGTGACTAATGGCCATAAGGTAGGCGATGTAACTCATCAGTAGGATATAAGGGCATGACTGGAGCAAGTGGTATCTTCACTGAACACTTGTCCTTTCATTAGGGCACAGGGACAGTACCTTTCGTTTATTTCAAACTAAATGATAAAAGTTTGAAAGATAAAGGAACAGTGAGCTAAAGTCACTAAAAAACAAATGGACACATAAATACATACAATACAAATGACAGTCTAACCTCTGAGGATTCTGTAGCTGATCTGCTCGCTCCGGTTCTTGTCTCCGTCTCTGGCAAACACCGGCCCGGGCTCCAGAACCAGCGGCCCCTCCTGACGGTTCAAACCAGAGAATGTGAAAACCTTCCGACCAACGAGCCTGGTCTCTATTTCTTATGTCAGTGTCAGTTAGGCTAAAGACGGATAAAAAGAGACGTCTGATCATTGTCTCACCTCCTTCTCGGTGAGGTTGACTCGCCCCTTGTAGCCCGTGCTCACACACAGTTTGGCGATTCCCAAGGTTGTCCTCAAACATGGCTGAAACCATGGCGGCCGGTTATCCACGTCCTTCACAAGCACGGTGATGGAGGCCACCGACGTGAAAAAGGGCTGGTCCGAGGCTGAACCGTTAAACGTGTCCTGAATACAAGAGACACATTTCACAGGTCAAAGGGAAGCAGCCGCAACGGTGATTTTATTATAAATGATTAACGCTTCCGTACTTGAACATGTAAAACCAGAGAGATCTTCTGCACGACATCGTAATCCAGGATGCTTTTAACCAGAATCTTTGGAGAGTTGATGTTTTCAAGGCGGAAATATTTATCCTGACAGATGAAGAGAAAAATTCATACAGATTAAATTAAAGTAAGAAGGCTGAGACCATTCCAGAGTTTTAAAGGAGCAGTATGTGACCCTGACCCCTAGTGTTTAAAATGGGTACTGCAGTCTAAATTCTAAACATTGTAGAGCGCTGTCTCTCCCCCCTCTTTCACTCACTACATATATCACTGATTGGACCTTTATTTCATTGATATGATTTTAGTAAATATCAAACACTATTGATACCATGGCAACAAAAACTTAATTCCTAGACACTATACTTGGTAAGGTTCTTGTTTTTAATCACCAAAAGTTTCAGACAAACTCCTGCAAACTGTTTAAATATATAATATAATAGAACAAATATGTCGGCAGTGTACATGCATTTTGTATGTAGTTTCCACAAATGCTGTGCAAAGAATAAAAAAGATTGAGTCTACTTTCTACAGTGGCCCTGAAAGTCAACTACAATAAAGGAGAACACTGCTTGTTTCTGATCGGACAAAGCCAAAGTCCTAATTCGTCTATGACCAATATCAGTCAATTAAGCTCAGTAAAATGAGCTTAATTGACCTTCAGGGCCACTGTAGTTTTTCGGTACCAAAACACTGCCAATGTATCTGTGCAACTTAGAGAACTCTCTCTCTTTCTCTTCGTGCAGGTTTTGGTTTAAAAGTGGAGCAGGCAAGAGACAGAGAGGATGGACTTTTCTCATCAGTGGGGGGGTTTGTAGACAGACACATATTAGTGTCAGAGAATCATGGTGAAGTAGATTTTACATCATGTGTGACCTTTAATACTCAGTATTTTCTTGTTCTTACTGTAGCAGACTCTAAGCGATAAAAGAGCGGATCTGAATCAACGTCTGAGGCTTGGATCCGTCCGACGCTGGAGTTCACCGCAGTCAGCTAAAGGAGGAGAAATCAGAGTCAGCCTCACGTTCAAGCTCAAACAGGAACATGTGACACTGATGAACAATCCTCACCTCGTTCACCTCCAGGACGAAGTGATTCTGTGCAAAGTTCGGAGGATTATCATTCACGTTTTCAACCAGGACTTCCACAGACTCGTTCACCTGCAGGTCCGAGCACAGGAGACGATGAGAGAGCTTCAAACAGGTGCTTCAGTGCACAAAATGCTTTTTCAATTAATGTCAATCACTGATAATGACCTGATATAGATCATAACCAATGTTTAACACTTCTACCACATTCAAATACAGGGCACAAGACGAGAGGGTGTGAGACAAGAGGGTACGAGACGAGAGGGTGTGAGACGAGAGGGTGTGAGACGAGAGGGTGTGAGACGAGAGGGCGCGAGACGAGAGGGCGCGAGACGAGAGGGCGCGAGACGAGAGGGTGTGAGACGAGAAGGCGCGAGACGAGAGGGTGTGAGACGAGAAGGCGCGAGACGAGAGGGCGCGAGACGAGAGGGTGCGAGACGAGAAGGCGCGAGACGAGAGGGCGCGAGACGAGAAGGCGCGAGACGAGAGGGCGCGAGACGAGAGGGCGTGATACGAGAGGATATGAGACGAGAAGGCGCGAGACGAGAGGGTGTGAGACGAGAAGGCGCGAGACGAGAGGGCGCGAGACGAGAGGATATGAGACGAGAGGACACAAAAGTGGATTCAGAGAAAGAAGGTATATCTACTATTAAACTAAAAACGGTGATGTTTGTGTAAAACGTGTTTCACTCACAGAGCTGGATCCTGTTCTGCTGCACTGAACCCACACGACCAGAGCTGCACTGGACACCGCCTGACACACAAAATACACAACAGGTTAATACAACACACACACACAGCATGTATTTATCACAGTGTGTGTGTGTGTGTGTGTGTGTGTGTCACCTCGTAGTCCAGTCCTTTCTTCACCATCAGAGCGTTTCCTCTCAGGTAGAACAGATCTTCAGGGTTCACCGACACCGTCAGAGTCACGTCACTGCTCGAGCTGATCTTCACCACCTCCACGTCTGCCGTGTTGTTCTCAGGGACCGGCACCGGGCCGGGAGGAACCGTGCACACTGACAGGAGAGAGACGACCAACCGGACGCCAAATTATTTTAGAGGGAGACGGACGACTTCAAGTCTGCAACACCACCATAACCCCCTGATGACGTCCCCTGCATTAACAAGTTGTGCAATCCAGGCTCGAGTTGTTGCTCGATATCAACATCTGTCTGATACCATGGCAACCCAGATCTCAAGTCAAAGGCGAGCAGTACACAGACAGCTTGTAAATGTAAAAATAAGTGACTTCGTCTAAATTGCACAAAAAGGTTACGATTCTGCTGACCACGTCCTGTTCCCAGCAGTAATATCAACATCTGGGGAGCACATGGCCTAGCGGTTAGGTCGTGCCACATATACTGAGGCTATAGTCCCTCAAGCAGGCGGCCCGGGTTCAAGTCCGACCTGCAGGTCCCTCCCCTCTTTCTCTCTCTCTCTCTCTCCCTGGTCCTGTCTCTAAATAAAGAATAAAATGATAATAAATCTGAAAAACAACAGAGATCTGACGTCACAGGCGCTGCAGTACTTTGTGACTTATTGTTTTGGATCAACAGAAATTGCAGGAAAACACAAAAATTTGTTGGGGATGTTTCTGTACTGAAACGTTCTCCTTCTCTGCTCTCCATTAGTATTGTATGTTAATGCAACAACTAGAGGACTTAGAATCGTTTATCGACCAGAGAGAGAGAACAAGAGAGAGAGAGAGCACCGTATGAACCTCACAAAAACATTGGCAACATTTCAGTACCAAAGTGTTGCCAATGTTTTTGTGCATTTTAGACAAACACTGCTCTCTCTCTCTCTCTCTCTCTCTCTCTCTCTCTCTCTCTCTCTCCCTCTGTCTCTTTCTTTCTCCCTGCAGCTTTGGGTTGAAATATGACTCATGTTTTTTTAAGTTTCGATACATTTAGATATGGACCATGAGAAAAACAGATATCGTATCATTTATAAATCCAGAATATTAAAGTATCAGAAAGTCTGACGGCCTTCAAAGCATCAACAGAAACATCCTCAGCCCCCTCCTCCCCCTCCTCCCCCCCTGCAGAGACAGAAGACATCCTCGTCTTGAGGAGTCGTCGGTGTACTCACGTCTCTCAGCCGAGCCAAACGCACACAGACAGACGGACACCAAGCATCCCAGCAGGACGTGTTCAGGTCTGGTCCTCAGGTTCAGGTCCATGTCGTGGTGTCGGAGCAGACTCGGGTGAAGTGGGTGAGGAGGGTGAGGAGCCGTGGTACCAGCTGGTACTCGGCCACATAAAGAGCTGTCTGTGCTGTGGCAGCAGAGTGGGAGTCGACTACAGGCCTCATGTTTGTGACTTCATCGCAGAGGACTCAGCCTCCCACTGAAATACCTGCATCTGTTTGAGCACTGATGCATCATGGGAGGAATCCTGCACCGGAATGTTGACAGCTGGAAAACTCTCTCGTACCCGGGGACAAAAAATCCAAACAGAGGTCAGAGAAGAGTGCAACAAAAATCGTTATAAGTTTAGAAAGAGAAACTCAGACATGAACAGACGAATGTGAAGAGGAATACAAAGACAGGAAGACATCTGAACGAGGCGCTCCATGAGCTGACAGTGAGATAGAAGAAGACTGATCTGATAACTAAATGTAAAGGTGGGACCAAAGAACCCTGGGAGGTCTCAACAAAGAGGGTGGGTCACAAAGTACAGACAGATGCAGGAGTTCATATCTGAAAGCAGCAGACTGTATCAGGCCACATTCAAATACTGCTGCACGCTTCTAAGTGAGAGTAAGAGGGCGTTCACACCTGCAGAAAACCTCCTGAAAAACTTCCTGATATGTTCAGTCTGAGCGTCATGTGTGAACACAAACAGCTGAATGTTTCTCCCTTCACCCGGAGTTTCTCCTCCAGCCTCCTCGTATTTATTCTGCAGAAAGTCAGAGTGAGCTGATGTGAGAACGCAGCAGGATATAATCAGGAGAATTCACCTGGAGCGAGTGGGAGGGGGTGGTGACGTTTATTCCCTGTGATCGCTGCACGACCATAGACTGTCTGCACGCCACCTCTACCATCTCCGTGCTCTAATGAACCTGCTGCATTATGTTTCCTGTTCTCCAGTTTGTTCTTCTCCACTCTTTAGTTCAGATTGAGATTCTGATGAACTACACGTAGCATTGATATAAAGACACATATTCTCATTATAGAGTCCTATGGAGTCTGATACTGCGGTCTTACCTCAGGAGACTCCGCCCCTCTTCTGTGACAGGAAGAGTCTCCTGCTGTGAGGTGAAGGTGTGAACAACCAAAATGAATGAAGCAGAGCGACACACAGAACACACACACACACACACACACACACACACACACACACACACACACACACACACACACACACACACACACACACACACACACACACATGTTCCCTCATACTCACACACACATGATAACAGACTGATGCTGGCACTGACAGGGACACATGACGGCTTCATGTGGACAAAACACCACTGTGAACACACACACACACACACACACACACACACACACACACTCACACACACACATCCTCCTCTGTGTGGGAACAACAGGCTCACAGTGTCATGATGAAGCTCATACATCATGTTTCCTCACACACACACACACACACACACACACACACACCTCGCTCTCTCTCTCTCTCTCTGCTGATGTCACATTTGCCCAGCAGGGGGCGCCTCAGCTCAAAGCCCCCCCGCAGCAGCCTCACTCTGTTTTCAGCTGTGTGTCTTCATGGAGTTGTGTGTAGTTCAGTGTGTCTTCATGTAGTTGTGTGTAGTTCAGTGTGTGTCTTCATGGAGATGTGTGTAGTTCAGTGTGTGTCTTCATGGAGTTGTGTGTAGTTCAGTGTGTGTCTTGGTAGTTGTGTGTAGTTCAGTGTGTGTCTTCATGGAGTTGTGTGTAGTTCAGTGTGTGTCTTCATGTAGTTGTGTGTAGTTCAGTGTGTGTCTTCATGGAGTTGTGTGTAGTTCAGTGTGTGTCTTCATGGAGTTGTGTGTAGTTCAGTGTGTGTCTTGAAGTAGTTGTGTGTAGTTCAGTGTGTGTCTTCATGGAGTTGTGTGTAGTTCAGTGTGTGTCTTCATGTAGTTGTGTGTAGTTCAGTGTGTTTCTTCTTGTAGTTGTGTGTAGTTCAGTGTGTGTCTTCATGTAGCTGTGTGTAGTTCAGTGTGTGTCTTCATGTAGTTGTGTGTAGTTCAGTGTGTGTCTTCATGGAGTTGTGTGTAGTTCAGTGTGTGTCTTCATGTAGTTGTGTGTAGTTCAGTGTGTGTCTTCATGTAGTTGTGTGTAGTTCAGTGTGTGTCTTCATGGAGTTGTGTGTAGTTCAGTGTGTGTCTTCATGTAGTTGTGTGTAGTTCAGTGTGTCTTCATGTAGTTGTGTGTAGTTCAGTGTGTGTCTTCATGTAGTTGTGTGTAGTTCAGTGTGTCTTCATGTAGTTGTGTGTAGTTCAGTGTGTGTCTTCATGGAGTTGTGTGTAGTTCAGTGTGTGTCTTCATGGAGTTGTGTGTAGTTCAGTGTGTGTCTTCATGGAGATGTGTGTAGTTCAGTGTGTGTCTTCATGGAGATGTGTGTAGTTCAGTGTGTGTCTTCATGGAGTTGTGTGTAGTTCAGTGTGTGTCTTCATGTAGTTGTGTGTAGTTCAGTGTGTGTCTTCATGGAGTTGTGTGTAGTTCAGTGTGTGTCTTCATGTAGTTGTGTGTAGTTCAGTGTGTGTCTTCATGTAGTTGTGTGTAGTTCAGTGTGTGTCTTCATGGAGTTGTGTGTAGTTCAGTGTGTGTCTTCATGTAGTTGTGTGTAGTTCAGTGTGTCTTCATGTAGTTGTGTGTAGTTCAGTGTGTGTCTTCATGGAGTTGTGTGTAGTTCAGTGTGTGTCTTCATGAGTTGTGTGTAGTTCAGTGTGTGTCTTCATGTAGTTGTGTGTAGTTCAGTGTGTCTTCATGTAGTTGTGTGTAGTTCAGTGTGTGTCTTCATGGAGTTGTGTGTAGTTCAGTGTGTGTCTTCATGTAGTTGTGTGTAGTTCAGTGTGTGTCTTCATGTAGTTGTGTGTAGTTCAGTGTGTCTTCATGTAGTTGTGTGTAGTTCAGTGTGTGTCTTCATGTAGTTGTGTGTAGTTCAGTGTGTGTCTTCATGTAGTTGTGTGTAGTTCAGTGTGTGTCTTCATGGAGTTGTGTGTAGTTCAGTGTGTGTCTTCATGTAGTTGTGTGTAGTTCAGTGTGTGTCTTCATGTAGTTGTGTGTAGTTCAGTGTGTGTCTTCATGGAGTTGTGTGTAGTTCAGTGTGTGTCTTCATGTAGTTGTGTGTAGTTCAGTGTGTGTCTTCATGTAGCTGTGTGTAGTTCAGTGTGTGTCTTCATGGAGTTGTGTGTAGTTCAGTGTGTGTCTTCATGGAGTTGTGTGTAGTTCAGTGTGTGTCTTCATGGAGTTGTGTGTAGTTCAGTGTGTCTTCATGTAGTTGTGTGTAGTTCAGTGTGTGTCTTCATGGAGATGTGTGTAGTTCAGTGTGTGTCTTCATGTAGTTGTGTGTAGTTCAGTGTGTGTCTTCATGTAGTTGTGTGTAGTTCAGTGTGTGTCTTCATGTAGCTGTGTGTAGTTCAGTGTGTGTCTTCATGGAGTTGTGTGTAGTTCAGTGTGTGTCTTCTTGGAGTTGTGTAGTTCAGTGTGTGTCTTCATGGAGTTGTGTGTAGTTCAGTGTGTCTTCATGTAGTTGTGTGTAGTTCAGTGTGTGTCTTCATGGAGATGTGTGTAGTTCAGTGTGTGTCTTCATGTAGTTGTGTGTAGTTCATTGTGTGTCTTCATGTAGTTGTGTGTAGTTCAGTGTGTCTTCATGTAGTTGTGTGTAGTTCAGTGTGTGTCTTCATGGAGATGTGTGTAGTTCAGTGTGTGTCTTCATGTAGTTGTGTGTAGTTCATTGTGTGTCTTCATGTAGTTGTGTGTAGTTCAGTGTGTGTCTTCATGGAGTTGTGTGTAGTTCAGTGTGTGTCTTCATGTAGTTGTGTGTAGTTCAGTGTGTGTCTTCATGTAGTTGTGTGTAGTTCAGTGTGTGTCTTGAAGTAGTTCAGTGTGTTTGTGATACTCGGGTCTGGACTTGTCCCCGACCTGCTCTCTGGCTCTCTGTGATGTAACAGTAACACAGACTTTAATCTCATTACAGACTGATTAGTGTTCTCATTCAGCCGAGGGAAATGTTCCTCCACGCTCGATGTTTGTTGGACTTAACGCTCTGAACGCTGCTCGTTATATTTACCTGAAGAAGTCAGACCGACAGCGTTGTGAGGACGTTGTTGTTGTTGAGGACGTTGTTGTTGTTGAGGACGTTGTTGTTGTTGAGGACGTTGTTGTTGTTGAGGTGGAATCAACCTTCATCTTTTATCCTCA